TGGTGTATCATTTCATTGCAAATGTAAAAATTGTGTTCAATTTTATTGTCTTCAAAAATAGTAGTTAATTTAGAGGTTTGTTTTATAAGTGTTACAGTTGTCGTTAATAATTTCACATTTAAATTTTCTGTTTTAATGAACGGTATGTTTAAAGTAGTAAAAACATTTTTATTAATTAAAGAGATTGTTGCTCCGGTATCGACTATTGCTTTAAAATAATTTTGATTAATTATAATTGGGGCCTGAATTAAGTTATACGAGTTATTAAAACTGTACACCAAATTTAACTCGTGACTCAATTGGTGTAATCCTCGTTTTTTGAATCAGTGGTCTTTGGTTTAGTGCATTCGTTAGAATAATGTCCTTTTTGATTACAATTCCAACAGGTGATGTTTTTCCTTCTGTCAAAATTATTTGGTTGTCTGTAGTTTTGATTGCTGTTTCCATGTGTTCTGTTATTGTTGTTACTCCATTGATTCCTATTTCTATTTGGTCCGTTATTTTGCATTCTTTGAATTAATTGTTGTTGTTGCTGAAGTTGTTTATTCATTTGTGCTTGTAGTTTTTCATGACTTTTAGTTAATTTGTCAAACATTGATTCTTCAGTTAGATCTTTTGTTTTAATTGTTTCTGGTATTGGATTTTTTGGTAGTTTAAAGTTTTGGGCGTCATCTGTTCTCTTAATCATTTTGTAAAGTTCTTTGAGACTGTTAGGTCTAGAACCGGAAAACTTTCTAATGATTTTTCCCTTCAGATCGTCTTCTAGACCATAGATAATTTGTGTCATCCTATCCTTCAATGGCATATGTTTGGCATATGTATCGATAAATTGGTTTTTAATTTCCCAATATTCATTGAAAGATTGTCCTTTGATTTGAACACAACTAATAATTTTTGTTTGGCCAAGAAGATCGTCACAAGTGTTTGTATATCGTTCAGTTAAACCATTTATAAATTTATCCCAATTGAATGATGGATCTCTTTTTCTTTCATTCAGAAACCACATTCTTGGAGCACCGGTAAGACTGTTGATTAGTCTTTTAAATTTAATATCTTCGTTCCATAAGTTTGCATCTGCGATGAAGTTATATTCATCAATGAAATTTATAGGATCTGAAGAGCCATTGTAAGAGGGTGGGTTAATTAGCCCTCCGTACATCATTTGTTTCAATGGCGGATTGTCGGTATTTTTGACTAGTTCAACATAACTAGGTGTATGAATATTGGTATCGTCTATTCGCCTCCCAAACAAATTTGGGTCACTATTAGTTCGGGGAATTCTTTTTCCATTATCTACTTGTGGATTTATGTAAACATCCGGTTCATCAGATCTATGTAAAAACTCTTCCATACTGTTTTTTATTAAATACAATAACAAATTAAATGGATTTTTGGAATGCTCTTTTATTTTAATAATAATTTGTTAATAAAATCTCTCATAATTATATAATTAGTAAAATTAAAAGTTTGTTTCGTCGACTTCTTCAATATCAGGACAAGAGGGTGAGGGTTGTTGCGTTTCGTTTGTTTTTCGGTTTCTTTTAAAGGGTCTGAAGTTAATTCTGTCACGTGTAGGCTGGTTAACTATTGGGGGTAAAGGTAGTGTAATTGGTGTTCCACGATACCGTTCGATGACATTCGCTATCACGAAGCCATCATTTCCAATCGTTTTGAAGGCCTCTGGTTTGTGAGCGTTGTTTGTGGTCCAATTTATGTCTTTAGTAGAAATTTCAATTGCCATTTCTCTGTCTTCTATTCTATTTCCGGCGTAATCGATTCCCATTAGATAGATCTTATCCGCCAACTTAACACTTAGACCGTCGTCTGCTTTTGTAATACTCCACATATTTATTTGGTATTTGACTGTAATATAATGAATTGATCGGGAAGAAAATTTGACCAATGGTATTCTTAGACGTACTATTTCTCGCTTAGTGTATCGAAAGAGATGTGTTTTGTAAAAAAGTTCAAGTATTAAACTTCTGTCTATATTTCTGTTGTTGTTATGCATAGTTTGTCCTTCCCATACACCAAACAATGGTAGTCCTCTACCATTATGAACGCTTTGTCTTTTGTGTCTGAAGGTACCGTAAGTTACAAACAGCGCCAGCATTAGTACAAATACAATGCAGAACACAACGTTTATAATAAATGAAATTGCTATGGTGTCATTCATAACATCTACAGTTATATCGGGTAATAGCTTTATATCAGGAATTAGCTGAATGGCATAAGTCGGTTCAATGATTACTGTTGTTGCCGCAAAAATGCCAAATATTTTAGTAAACGAAAGTAATCCAAATATTACTGTTAATGTAGTAATCATTTGAATTGAGTCGCTGATTAAACTAAAGTATCCCCAAAAGGTTCCTTTATATTTATAAGTTGTAAAGTCTTTATCCAAATCATTCATTGCTTGAGCTAATAATGTCTGTGCTTCCATGTTAAATTTTGTCATTCGGGAAAGACCCGTCGAATCTAAATTCATTTTGAAAGTTGATGAGATATTTTGAATAAGTTTGTCTGTTTGCATTGGAATATCGGAGATTCTGTCTATCTTTGTAAAATTAACTGTAACATTTACATGTTTGTTGTATATTTTTTGAATAAGTGTTGAGTAATATGATACGTTATTGATTGTTTGTCGGGATCGAAGAACATCTGAGAATGGCCCATACAGCTTTTGATTAGTTGCGGGGATAAAAATGTCACACTCTTTGGGTATCTCGTATTTATCAGCCCAACTTGTTATCTTAATTCTCTGACCAATTTCATCTTTTCTTTCACAATTCTGATAGAATTCTGGTACAACACTTTGATGGACCATATATTGGTTATAATTTATCGGTACCACGAGATATTCATCGAGTCTTCTAAGTCTAAATTTACACCATTTGATTATATCTTCTTCTATCCAAGTATTTATACTTTGTGTACAAGCACTTGTCCTTTTGAGTAATGTTGGAAAAAATGTCCAACAAACTTTACCTTGACTTGAATATTGACAGTTTAAATTGTCCTTATCTATTTCTAAAGAGATCTTATTGGTATCCAAATGTATTAGAAAATAATTGTTTTCTAAATCAAAACTTTGAAGTGTCGTGTTATCTTTGTTATCTAATTTCATACACATATTTTCATAACATGGGAAGCTATGCGCATTGACCGACACCAGTTGATATAAAGAAGTACTATAAATACTTCTCAGAGGTATTCGTAAATGTACAAATAAAGACAATTCATTATTTTCGTTTATGATTTCAAATGATGCCAATGGTAACGTGTAGTAAAGCGGAAAATCTTGTTTTTCTATTGCGAAATTAAACGTAATTGGTAACTCTTTTTCTATTTTGTTTAATAGATTTTTCAAATCGTTGTAGTTAATTAAGTTGATTGATATCTTGCCTTCATCTAATTTATTAAAAATGTCCTCCCAATGATTGAACTGTTGTAGTTTTATTGTCACTAAATTTCTAGAGACTTCTAATTCTTTCCAGGCAACAGTTCTTAATTCATTTTTAATTTCTAGGATTTGAGATTGTTTATCAACACTTTTTGTTATTCTTAAAATACCATTCATTAAATCAATAAATTTTTCATTTGTGTTATCAAATAATAATTTGATCTGATCTTGTGTCCTCTGTTCTAGACTAGCCACATTATGACTTAGACCAGATAGTATCTTCGAATTTATCATTACAGCCGATGAAACTTGTTCAATTTCTTTGTTGAGTTTGTCATCTAATTCTTTTAGAACGGCGTTAAGTTCTTCGAGATTGTGCTTTGATGTATAATGGCCAGCACCAGCACCAACTGCTCCACCTACTACCATTGATACTCCGAGCGCCACAAGCCCAGCTATTATAAATCTTTTGTTTCTTACTTTATTGCTAAATTCTTTATACGAATTGTCTATAATTTCTTGAAGTTCATCTAATGCAGTCCCATAAGCGCTTTGTATTTCATTGCATGATACCATTGTTTCATCTTTAAACTCCGATATGTTGAACATATTTAAAATATCGACTAGATGAGTAGTACATTTTTCATTAAAATCTTCTCTTTTTAATGCTATACCACTTGGAATTTTAATTTTTATAAAATGGTCAAATTGTTCTCTGAAAATGTATCCTTTGCCTTCTGAGTGAAAATGCAATCCATGCATTGCCCATAGAGTGCGATGGGTTTCATTATTAAATTTAAAAGAGTCCGGGAGTTCAATTGGTATATGAGATCTAACAACATTTGTCTGTCTTTGTCTTGGTTTGGATCCAAATTCAGGAGAATTATAGAATTGGTTTTTAATACCAGGTTTAATAAGTTCCATGATTGAGGATTCAGTTGTACTTATCTTTTTCAATTGCTTAGTCATTTGTTTCTTTTCAGAAAAATATTCGGGTCCGTCATCGATGGTATTAACACTTATGTCTTCGGTTGTTGACAGAATAGAGTTTACAGTTGTAGTAGTGGTTAAGGGTCTTGTCTTTGTGATGCTTATTTTGGTAATCTTTTTGACGCTATGTCCACGTGTAGTTGATTCGGCCACTGTTACGCTTGTCGCAGTTGTTGTGCCCAGAGTTGTTAAATCAATCATACTTTCGGTGCCTAAGTTGGGTTTGATTGTTGTAGAATAATGTTGAGTTTGCACTGTAGTTGTTTGAGAAAGCGGTGTTTGTTTTATATCCTTTGTTATTACAGAATCAGTTGTTCCAGAATTAAGATCAAATTGATTTATTAGTCGTTGAGCATCGGGTGACAGTGTTGAGCAGAAAACATTTGTTTCGGTAAATAGTAGCAAATAAAACACAAAAACTTGTTTAAACTTTTTAATTAAAAACATTTTTATTTATTAATAGTAATTAAGATCTACTATAAATCAGAATTCAAATTCACAAGTTATAATAATTTATTCTTTAAAAAAAACATCTTTTTATATACTAAGATTTTTATTATTAAAAGTCTAAATTTGAAATAACAGGATGTAGATAATAATTGTTTGTTCATTTCTTTTTCTTGTTATCAATTAGTTTTCCGGCCTTTACTGCGTCGTTAACACTATTTCGGCACCATTGATAAGACATCAGTCCAGGTTCTGTATCGCTGGGTTGTTGATTCAGCTTATTATCGATATATAATTGGTACAACTGCAATGTATATCTGGCGTCTTTAACGGCGTCATGTCCTTTTAGGGGGTCGTAATTATCTTGATACTCTTGTATCTTATCGCCAAAAACCGCAAACGTGAGGGCCTTCAGGCTTATCGGCTGCCGTCTCTCGTCAAGGAAGTGGTCCTTGAATTCGAATCGCTTTCCAATTGGTACGATATCAGACACTTTTAAACACTTCAAATCCTCCTCAAGGCCAATGCCTACTACGGGTCTGTCTTTGAGGGCTAATTCTACTCTTTTTTTGACTATATCGAAAGGTATGGCGTCTTCGCTGCAATCTAATCGCACTATGCCTGACCAGCGGGTCATAAATTTTGCTACATTCAATTGTCTAATGAACGCACTATAAACTATTTTCTGACAATTCCTATATTTTCTTCCTTTCGGATTCCTATAGATAACTACCCATGCTGGCAGAAATTCACCTCTAACCCCCTCAACTTTCTCTACATCTATTGACACTGGTTCATTAGGAATGAGATCACTGATGTTGTCTATTAGAATGGCTCGCCGAGCGGATAGGGAGTCTTTAGTTTTTAATTTTTTATTAGAGTTAGTAGGCATTTGACCGGTAAGAAGATAGCAGTGCTTTTGATCGTGCCCGATATCGCCGCAGTGATAACAGCGTGTGCATTTTGAAGGATTATGACCGAAGTCAAATCCTTTTGCTCTGCAAAAGCGACATATAATGGGTGCGCCAAAATAATCTCTTTTTATTTGGGAATTATTCATCTAAAATAAATTCAATTACATTTAATTAAAAGCAAACAATAGTTTCTGTGTATTTTAAATAATATATCGCGATAGGCTTTGCGTTTGGATTTTGCATAAGTAACAGCATATAAGTGGATTTCTTTGTAAAGTACAGTCAATTTATATGCTTTTGATTCGCCTCGGGTGACTTCATTACAATTGATAATTGGGTTAATGTTATACGCTTTCGCCAGACGATAGACAAGCTTTCGTCCATTCGTACGAAAGATGTTTAGTCGAGGGATAGTTTGTCTACGGTATCTTGTTGGGGTGTAGTTTTTTTCAAGGGTTTTGGGATCCACCTTTGCAGGGATATAGCTTTCATTAAATTTAATTAAATACATTATCTATAAATGAAAGAAATTTTTATTCAGTTTAGTTTTAAAATCATTTATTCGTAAACATTTTGACAATATTATTTAAATTTAATTACATAAAAAAACAATAAATTAATTTGGTATATAATGTTTACAAACTCGTATATAATTAATTGGATTTACAAAAAGATTGCAACATTTCAAACAAAACTCAGGGATAAGAGGTAAATTTTTAGCAACAATAATACCATTATCTCCTACTAGGTACAGACATGGATTAGAAATAAATGGGAGATAGTTTTTAAATGGTAGATTGATTTGCCACATTTTATAATAGAAATTTTCATTAAATATTTCTAATGTGTGGGATTCGGTTTCAATAATTAAAAAGTTAGATTGTAAATAAAAGTCAGATATATTTCCACTTGAAACTTCTACTTTTCTTAGACCTTGAATATCCACGGGTAGCAATGACATGACGCCTACATAGTTATCTAAAGGATTTTCTGTATTGTTTTTTGCTAAGTTACTAAAGTATAGGTATCTACCATACACCTTGAACTTAAGAGAATTGTACCCGTTAAATGTTACAGACATTGGTATTTTATTTTTGTATATAACTGTCACCTTTTTATTACTTTCGTTATTGAGATCTAATATGGCAAAGAAATTAAGGTAACTAACAAAAAATGGTTTAACATAATGGCTCAACGGGTTTTCGTAGCATTTAAGTCCCTGAACGTATGAGATAGTTGAAGTCAACACGCAATACGGGCTAAGTCGTATTTCATAAGTATTTGTATGCTGTTCTAGGTAATTAATGGTTCCACTTTCATGAAAAGTGTAATGTTTAATACCGTCAAAGCAGTATTTAATAATTCTGTCTTTGCATTGAATAATTTTGGTGAGGGACGGGTCATAAAGGGCAAATTGGATAAATTTATAATCGGAAACGGCTATGAAATTTGTGTCGTATAACGATTGTTTAGTTTCAATTTGATTGATCTGTTCATCACTATTAATTGAATATGTTGCAACCTCAAGAAAATTAACAATATTGTAAATTTTAATGTAACCGTCGCTGTATCCTAAAATGATGTAATTATTGAATAAGGTGACAACAGAAATTATAACATTTTCTAATAACGGGATTATAACATTGTCTTTTCTGGTTTCAAATCGAAATGGTACATTTGTTGGTAAAATATTTGAACTCGGGTATTCGATGGGTGCTATTAATCTGAGTTTGGGATTATTAACGGGATACTCGACAAGCCATTCGGAAAACATCTCATCCTCATTCAGTGTCTCATAGGGTTCTTCAATATCTGTGATTGAATCAATTGATTCATCACTAAAAAGCACGCTTTGTCCTGACATTGAGATTGTCTAACGGTAGAGTATAGATATTAATTATTTGTTAAAGTTTTTAAAACCGCTCGACCCGAAGGTGAACAACGAAATGATGTCGTTTTTAATAGGCAAAAAAGCAAGCTTAGTATTGTTAGTCAAATATATATTTTTTCCAAAGACCAGGATCAGAGACCAACCGAAGTCTATTGCTCTGATGCGGCTTCGAAAGAGTTAATTTAACTAGAAATTGACAGCAAGTGCAAAGAATAGATTTTTCTCCGACAATCTGTCGCCGGAGACCTCCCATTAAAACCCCACATTTATAACAAAACACTTGAATCAAATATTGATTCAATAATGATACGTAAGACACTTATCGTTTAAGGCGTGGAAAGGGCGGAACAGTGATGAGAAGCTGAGCCACGGTCTGGTGGTACGGTATACTTTGGTGTGTGGGAACAGCATCGGTGTGAACGCATCGGTTCGGGAACATCGGTTTGGACTCGTCATATGGATACATCGGTTCTGACACATCATTTCAGGTACATCGGTATGGTCACATTGGTTTGGACACATCGGTTCGGTTACATCGGTTCGGGTACATCGGTTCGGTTGGACACATCGGTTCGGATATATCATTTCTGGTACATCGGTTCGGGTACATCGGTTCGGGTACATTGGTTCGGCTGGACACATCGGTTCGGACATATCATTTCTGGTACATCGGTTCGGGTACATCGGTTCGGGTACATCGGTTCGGGTACATTGGTTCGGTTGGACACATCGGTTCGGACACATCAGTTCGGGAACATCGTTTTGGACTCGTCATATGGATACATCGGTTTGGGTACATCGGTTCGGTTGGACACATCGGTTTTGACGTATCATTTCTGGTACATCGGTTCGGGTACATCGGTTCGGGTACATCGGTTCGGTTGGACTCATCGGTTCGGACATATCATTTCTGGTACATCGGTTCGGACACATTGGTTTGGACACATCGGTTCGGTTACATCGGTTCAGGTACATCGGTTCGGTTGGACACATCGGTTCGGACATATCATTTCTGGTACATCGGTTCGGGTACATCGGTTCGGTTGGACACATCGGTTTGGACACATCATTTCAGGTACATCGGGTATGGACACATCGGGTATGGGCACATCGGCGGGTATGGACATGGCAGTATGGACATATCAGTTGTATGGACACATCGGGTATGGACACATCGGCGGGTATGGACACATCGGCGGGTATGGACACGGCAATATGGACACATCAGTTGTATGGACACATCGGGTATGGGCACATCGGCGGGTATGGACACGGCAGTATGGACATATCAGTTGTATGGACACATCGGGTATGGACACATCGGCGGGTATGGACACGGCAATATGACACATCAGTTGTATGGACACATAGAGTATGGGCACATCGGCGGGTATGGACATGGCAGTATGGACACATCAGTTGTATGGACACATCGGCGGGTATGGACACGGCAATATAGACACATCAGTTGTATGGACACATCGGGTATGGACACATCGGCGGGTATGGACACGGCAATATGGACACATCAGTTGTATGGACACATCGGGTATGGGCACATCGGCGGGTATGGACACGGCAGTATGGACATATCAGTTGTATGGACACATCGGGTATGGACACATCGGCGGGTATGGACACTGCAATATGACACATCAGTTGTATGGACACATCGGGTATGGGCACATCGGCGGGTATGGACATGGCAGTATGGACATATCAGTTGTATGGACACATCGGGTATGGACACATCGGCGGGTATGGACACATCGGCGGGTATGGACACGGCAATATGGACACATCAGTTGTATGGACACATCGGGTATGGGCACATCGGCGGGTATGGACACGGCAGTATGGACATATCAGTTGTATGGACACATCGGGTATGGACACATCGGCGGGTATGGACACGGCAATATGACACATCAGTTGTATGGACACATAGAGTATGGGCACATCGGCGGGTATGGACATGGCAGTATGGACACATCAGTTGTATGGACACATCGGCGGGTATGGACACGGCAATATAGACACATCAGTTGTATGGACACATCGGGTATGGACACATCGGCGGGTATGGACACGGCAATATGGACACATCAGTTGTATGGACACATCGGGTATGGGCACATCGGCGGGTATGGACACGGCAGTATGGACATATCAGTTGTATGGACACATCGGGTATGGACACATCGGCGGGTATGGACACGGCAATATGACACATCAGTTGTATGGACACATCGGGTATGGGCACATCGGCGGGTATGGACACGGCAGTATGGACATATGAGTTGTATGGACACAACGGGTATGGGCACATCGGCGGGTATGGACACGACAATATGACACATCAGTATGGGCACATCGGCGGGTATGGACACGGCAATATGACACATCAGTTGTTTGGACACATCGGGTTTGGGCACATCGGCGGGTATGGACACGGCAGTATGGACATATCAGTTGTATGGACACATCGGGTATGGACACATCGGCGGGTATGGACACGGCAGAATGGACATAACAGTTGTATGGACACATCGGGTATGGATAGTGGTTTTCAATTAATTATAAAAACAACAAAAAATTAATGAATATAAATCAATCATTTCCCAAACAATAAATAGCCGATAATTTAGATAATCTGATGTGACGACCCGATTCGGCAATCTGCGACCAAATCTCTACAAACGATATCATTAGCGATAGATTAAATCGAGGGACCAATTGATGTAATTTATCGGTATTCGGTTGACCGAAGATGTAATAGTAGGGAATGTCCAGCGGTTAATGACCGACAACACCCGAATGTTGTTGTTGTTGGTGTTGATAGGGTTTCGGCAAACGGAACGACAGTTCCTGATGACGAACCGGTCGTGGAATCGACTGAATGGTCACTTGAGCGTATCCAGTGGCAGCTAATGTGAGGTTTTGTTGAGTAATAATCACTAATTCGTCGCCATTTATTTTGTAAGCGATCTTCGAATCGGCGAAAACCGATTCAATCACCGGATGTCTCGAAACCAGCGAAATGTTGTATTTGAATAGAGCGGCGGCGACGACCGCCGATAAACAAAACGAATCGGTTTTTTTCAACTCGGGCCAACTGTTGGGCCATTTGGTGCTCTATCTGGGGTTGGGCCTCGTGACCAATGGGATTGTTATGTTTGCCAATTTGGATCTGTTTTTGTTGTTGGTGGTGGTGGTGTTGCAGGTGATGTTCGGTAGCCGGCCTTTGCTGACAAGTCTCCGTAAACACTCTCAGCTATAAGTCGAAAAACTTAATCTCAACGTTTCGACCACTTTTATTGGGAACCAAATCAGTGACCAACGATCGCCATCAGACACTTTTACCATTTTATGAACGTATGCCTCTATGACTACATGTACTCAACCTTTTGTTGATAGTAATGTCCGGCAAGTAGTCAAGAGGAGAGTCGGGTTCAGCGGCCGAACTCGATCGAAGTTGCGGTGATTGGAGAGATCAACTCCAAAGATCAGGTCTAAGTCATTGTAAACCGTGCTTTCAAGGGTCAGTACATGACTGTCGGCGCCTCCGTTTAGTTTTATGTCCCGAATCGGCAC